TTTTGAAATTTTGTTCAATTGTAAAAAATGATACGAGGAACTCAAAATATTTATCATGCTGTTTTTTTATAGCTAAGTTTCAAAAATCAATGTAACGTCAATTTTCGTATTTTATTCATTAGAATATTTAATTCTCCCTTTTTTAATCACTTACAAGATTTGAACCATCAAATTTTGAAGGAAAACGTCAATTTCCTTCGAATGAATTGATGAATTTTTGAGAGTAAATTTTGCTCATGCGGTTCGAAAGCCTTTTTTATTAAAGTCTTTTTCAATCTAAAAAAAAAGATAGCGGAAATTCAAGAATTCAGTGATTCTTTATGATTGACGTTTTTGTTTTGAACTAGATAATTTCAACCTTTCGTGTAGCTGATTGTTGTTGATTATCGTGAAGTTTCAAAAAATCAACATTCAATTAATATTTTAATTTTCTCCTTTTTTGCCCACTTACAAGATTGAAGTCAACATACCATCAATTTTCATATGTTATTCAATTAAATTTTTAATTTTCTCCTTTTTTGCCCACTTACAAGATTGAAATGATCAAATTCTGAAGGAAAATCTCAACATCTTCGGAATGAATCTATGAATTTTCTGGAATGAACTTGTCTAATGTATCGAACGCCTTTTTTATTAAAGTCTTTTTCAATCTAAAAAATAGATAGCGGAAATTCAAGAATTCAGTGATTTTTTATGATAATATTGACGTTTTTCTTTTGAACACGATAATTTCAACTTTTCATGTAGCTAATTGTTGTTGATTATCGTTAAGTTTCAAAAAGTCAACATACCGTCAATTTTCATACGATATTCAATTAATTTTCGATTTTCTCCTTTTTTGCCCACTTAGAAGATTGAAATGATCAAATTCTGAAGGAAAATCTCAACATCTTCGGAATGAATCGATGAATTTTCTGGAATGAACTTGTCTAATGTATCGAACGCCTTTTTCATTAAAGTCCTTTTAAGTCTAAAAAAATGAGATCGGAAATTCAAAAATTAAATGATTCCGTCTGAAAATATTGACGTTTTTCTTTTGAACTTGATAATTTCAACTTTTAATGTAGCTGATTGTTGTTGATTATCGTGAAGGTTCAAAAAATCAACATTCAATTAATTTTTTAATTGTCTCCTTTTTTGCCCACTTACAAGATTGCAGTTATCAAATTCTAAAGGAAAACCTCAATATCTTCGGAATTAATCGATGAATTGTTGAGAATGAACTTTTCTCATGCATTTCGTTTTCTTTGTGAACTTGAACACTATAATTTCAATTTTTCTTGTAACTGATGGTAGTTGTTTAAAATTGAGTTTAAAAAATTCAATGCAAATTAAATTGTCATATTTCATTCAATAAAACTTTTACCCATTTGCAAGTCAAGTTGAAATAGTCAAGTTCTGAAAGAAAACTTCAATATTATATAGAACCAATCGATGGATTTTTGAGTTTCTGGTAGAAAGTACTTTCAAAATCTGTACAAAAAATAACGCATTTCATTTTAAAAAACAATTTTTTTCTTTTCTCTTTATTCCTTCCAGTCCAAAAACCCTCTGATATATCACAAATGCTCCTTTCTACGTCCAAACGTTCTCTTCACCATGATATCAACGACCCTAATGTTTCCCCCTCCATCAAATCAAGGTATAAACAACAAATTCCACTCTTTACTCACAGATCAACCAAATTCTCTAAGAACCAAATTTTCTTTTACTATACTCGATCCCGTGATCTTAATTGGAATGATAGAGAGTGGTAAGTGTTTACCGTAGGTTTATTTACGTCGGAGTGTACTACTTATCCTCTCATCACAATAAAATTCAATTTTTTTCAACATTATATTTGCTTGTTGCAGTTAATTCTGTTGTGTAAATTTAAAATAAAACGAAAAAACAACATTTACCAGGTTCTGAACGAAAACTTCAAAATCTCGAATACGAATGATAGAATTATTGAGCTTCTGGTAAATTTTTCCCAACGGAAAAGATTTTCTGTGTCGCAAATGTATGGCAAAAATATGGCATTACATTAGTATCGGGTCTTATTAAATATTGTGGCCAACTTATTAAAATTTTAATTGCACCAGCAGAATCTACGCGAAAAATAACCTTTGGAATCATACTTTGTCGATAAAAAAAGACAGCGTAAAACCTGAAAGCCCATTTAAATCACAAGGTATATCATTAGAATTTTTAAACGTAATATATAACAATATTTTTGATCGTACTAAATGAGTAATTATTCAGAAACGGTCACTAATCACCACACAGTACTAAATGAGAATGACTATTTAAAAAGTTAAAAAAACGAAAAGGCACTTCGAGTAAAGTAGGCAAACAATTTATAAAAAGCAATTCGGATTCGTTTTAAGCCCTTTTTAAAGCCCTTAAATATGAATTTTTATATCAAATAAATTAAATTCTTTGCTTCATTCGTTGCAGGCAATTTTTGTTATAGCCGATGTCCGGTGTTCCACTTACAAATTCATAACACCTATTGATTTTGTTCAGATTTGACGTTACTACAAACAGTGGAAAAGCAAAAATATTCCGTCTCTCGGGCTATGGCAACAATGTTTAGGTTTTTATTTTAAGAGATAAAACTAAGGATGAAATCAACAGAAACTCTTAACTATTTTTGGTTCTAAATTATTAACAGAGGCCAAATTTTTGTCTTTGCATGTAGATTATAGAGTTCTAGACTCTAGGCAGATACTTCCTTAAAAAATCCTCTTGGATAGTGAAGTCTTTTCCAAGTTATGGTTGTCACTGTTGTTCTGATGTTGTTCAGAAATCTAAACAAAAAAAATTTACAAATCTAAACAATTTTGAGAAAATTATTTTTTTAACCCCAAATCTGTATTCGTGTGTTTTTGGGGAAGCAAGTATTTCTTCTTGTATTCACCTATTTATTGTATTCAATAAATAGCTCGACTGCTCGCAAGCAGATTTTTTTCATCCATTCTTGAAAATTAGGTTAAAATAATGTTATGGAGCAATGGACCAACGGAAAGTTACTGTACTTCTCCTTCTCCTTCTTGATTTTTCTAAAGCCTTCGATTTTGTCCCTCACTCTTCTCTCCTCTCTAAACTCGAATATTTTTCCTTCTCCGCCAGCACCATCCGTTGGTTCCACTCTTACCTTACCAATCGCCACCAAGCTGTTTCCCTTTCCAATTGCCTTACCTCCTCCTTCGTTGCTTTAAAGTCTGGGGTTCCCCAAGGTTCTAGCATCTCTCCTATCCTTTTTTCCATTTATATCAATGATCTGCCCGACTCCATCCAGTCCTGTAACTATCACCTATATGCCGATGACTCCCAAATATACATATCCTTCCACCCTTCCGATCTTCACTCGGCCATTCTCAAGATCCAAAAAGACCTAAACTCCATCAACGAATGGGCCCATAAAAATTCTCTAGTCCTTAATCCGTCCAATCCACCGCCATAATTACCGGGTCCAGGCAATTCCTTAATTCCCTACCCAGCATCCCACCTCTCGTGCTAAATAACCATCCCATCCCCTTCTGCTCTTCGGTTAAAAACCCTGGAGTAGTCTTTGACCAAAACCTTTCCTGGCACTCTCACATTTCCCAAATTTCCCGCCATTCCATTGCCTCCCTCAGCCTGTTTCGTCGGTCCTGGCTTCTCTTACCTTTCTCCACCCGCAAACTTCTTGTATCTTCCCTTATCCTTCCCTTCTTCGATTATAGCTTTGGCATACGGTGGTCTTTCGGAGCGGGAGAACTCGCGATTGAAGCGTATTATGAATTGTTGCGTAAGATTTGTGTACGCGGCACCCCACGGGGATCCCGGGTGTCGCGGTTGTATTCCCAACTTTCCTGGCTATTCCCCTCCTTCCGTGCACAGTATTTCCTAGGTTGCTTTCTTTTTCAGTCCATCCACACACGTCGTCCTCCTTCCATTATACAATCCCTCCAATTCAACTCCTCTCATCATATTCACATCACCTATATGCCGATGACTCCCCAATATACATATCCTTCCACCCTTCCGATTTTCACTCGGTCATTCTCAAGTCTCACACCCGCTCATCCCTAATCGACCTTATCCTTCCGCATCATACAACCCATTCGAAAGATTCTTTCTGATCCGAGCCCCTAAACTCTGGAACTCCCTTCCCATTTCTATTCGTCACGCTGCCTCCTTTTCCTCCTTTAAATCCCACCTGTATAATCACCTCCTCTTCCTCCAAGCAGAGACTTCACGTTAACATTGTTATTTTTGTCTAATATTCTCGTAATTTTTTCTTCTGTCCTGCCTTATTGGTATACATTGTGCCAAGATTTCTATATTTTCTTACTTTTAACTTCATCGAAGGAAATTGCTTTATTTATTTCATGTAAATTATTCTTAGGGGTCACCAGTCCCAGAATAAAGTTATTTTTCTTCTTCTTATTATAATTATTACATCTGTTAGGTTTCGTGGCCCTAAAATAAATTATTTTCAATTAATTAATCTTTAATTAAAGTTTTAGTTGAGATAAAAAAATCAGGGTCACGAGCAGGATTCGATATTATTCGATATGATTATTTGGTCAATCGGGCGACGAAACTTAAAAGATGTAATAAGCAAATGAAGTATACTTCACTAAAGCTCTCCGGGGCCATTTCATTTGTCGCCGATAATTAAATAGATTACCCGACATTTGAAAAATGACAAAAAGGAGGGAAAATTCGAAACGTTGGGTTCAGTGGTAGAGCAGCGGTCGTGGGTTCGAATCCTGCTCATGACACTGACTTCTTTATCTCAATTAAAACCCTAATTAAAGATCAATTAGTTATAATTATTATAAAAAATATCGGATTTATTTTTTTATCAACTTTATGTAGTAGACATTTGTAGTAGTCTTTTTTCTTGTAGTACCTTTGTTTTCGGCTTCTGTTGGATTTTTGATTAGACAACAATATGGCTGAATTTTGCTAAAAATTGGCATTTATTATTTGTAAAAAATTGTTAAGATTATTTTTTTATGTTGCAGTACATTGGCACTTTGGACGTTCCGAAACCATCCAGCAGATTAGAAATTGTAGCAGCTATGAGGAGAATACGAGTGAGTAAAGTTTATCTATTAATTCTCATATTCATTTGTATTTGTAACGTGATAAAATTTAAACGGACGGATTTTATATTAATTGCCCCTGAATGGTCGTATATTTGGTAAATTGCTTTTTGAAAGCTTGTGAAGGAGGGCTTGTTCATAAATCAAGTCCATACCGGGTCCATTTTTACGATGAAGCCCGGCCGTTTATTAAATTGAACTTTCACCGCAGTATGTTCCGCCGTTATCAGAAGCACAGGTTGAACTTTCAGTGTCACATTTATGAGTCTAGTAATCATTATGCAGATACCTTGGTGGGAAAAAATTGATGTAATAGTTTGTGTTTATTTATTAGAGTTTCCTCGTTCAACACGACAAAACTTTTACTTTACAGAATAATAAAACTCACCTATTATTCTAGATCAAAACAAGTCCACAAGGTCATCCTGTGTAAAGATACATTTTAACAATTTTCCTTTTCATTCTTATCAATATCAATTTTTAAACCGATAAATATCACAATTTTGTGTGTGAATTAATAAAGGGAGCGAAAATCACTCGAATTGAACAAAACAATCAAAGGAGACGTCGATTCTTGAATGGTCCACTGAAATATTCATAGTCTTCGCTCCTACTTAGCATGTAATGAGATCCAATTCAACCAAAGCCCATTTAATAATATTAGGCATTTTGCAAGCCCCGTTATAAAACTGACGGTGTCTCGTTTAAAAAATATCTTTATAATTCGGTAAAACGTTTCATTACGACTTTAAAGTTCAAAACTTATTTCAGTTCCTTAAATTTTCAACCAAAATATGTTTCTAATATTTACAAATGAAACCATGCTGGCGTTTGTTTGACCAAAACCTCGTAATTATCAGGAAAATAGTAATGGTTGTTGGAAGGAAGGCGTAAGAGGGAGAGAGAGAGAGAGAGAGAAAGAGAAAGAGAATGATAGAGAGAAAGAAAGAGAGAAAGAGAGAGAGAAAGAGAATGATAGAGAGAAAGAGAATGGTAGAGCGAGAGAGAGAGAGAGAGAGTGAGAGAGAGAGGGAATGAAAGGATGATGAGGTACCATAGGTTATACCATAGGCTATTGAGCAGTTTTTTCATATTCGAAGATAATTTGAGCAGAAATTCGTTCTTCATCATTACAAGTACATAAATAGGGTCATACCCATATTTTTTAGGTGCCCATGTTTTTTTAGGCCTATTAGCCCTAAGTTTCACCTTGTTTAACTGTAGCAATATGTGTGGTGATTAGTGACCGTTAGTCGATGATTATTCGGAAATCGTGAGATGCGGTCTGGTGTGGTGTAGGTTTCAGAAAAACATTTTCTTTATCGTGCCAACGTTTCGATCTTTATTGAGATCATCTAGCAATATGTTTGCCAGTTTTGTTGCTGGTTGTTTAATCATGAATTTATCATGTCTGGCACCTCTGTAGGTCGTTCGTTACTTCTTTAATACCTTAGTGCAGTTCAGTTGGGGCCTCTGGGTACCCTACAATAATCTCCTTTAAAAGCTGTTCCATATTCGAAGATAATATGAGTGACAGTTTCATCTTCTTCATTGCATAACATAACTAGCATAATTAATGAATTATACCTATGTTGTTTATGTGTTTTCAAATATACAGGCAACCTGTATCAAGCACTATGAATCCCTGTGTTTTACCTGGATTAACTGTAGCAATATGTTTGCCATTTTTGTTGGTAGTTGTTTCATCACGAGTTTACTATGTCTGAGTATGTCTAAAGTGTGTTCATTACTCCTTTTAGATAATTTTTTTACAACTCCGTAGGGTATCACGTAACAGCGAGTGTGTAAAATGAATAAAAAACAAGAGCCGAGGATCTACCATGGGTCTTAGTTGTTCTCTATTTAATGGATGTTAGTTTCATTAACATTAGAAAGAAGATCTCCCGGTCTCTTCTCTTTGGGTTTGATTGAAATTGGCGATAAGGAGAGTGGATTAGATCTTGGACAAAAGTAATAGGTATATACGTAGTTTCGTTGGGTACATAAAAGAGAGCATCAGGATCTTTATGAGGATTATGGGTTGGGCTCTTTGAATACGGAGAATGTTGGAGAGTTCAGCTGAACCTATACTTCCTGTCTTTAGGCCCATATAGGCTTCATAATGGTATTACAAAGCAGTCTTTCGCTTAAGAGAGATAAATTAGAGCGTTTATCAATGAGTGCAGAAAGAACGTAAGTTTCATAACTTAATGCCGTTTAAGTCGTGGATGAGGATTAGGTACTGCACTTTGTCCACAGTTGGAAGAGGTATTTGATTGAACTTGACCGGAGGAGAGATCGTTTTGCGGAGAATGAAGGTTATGCGAATGGATTTTTCCGGGTGAAATTTTATTCTTTTTTTTTCACTCTATGACACCAATAGTGTGAGGCGTTCCTGAAGGTTTCTAGTGAAAATGACCGGATCAGAGTTATCTGTAAGTACCGATAGTGAGGTAGCTTCGAAGTACAGAATGTCCTTGAGCAAAAAAAGCAAGCCCTAATTCAAAACTCGATCGAAAGCCTGTGGCATATCAAGGAAGGAAGAACCGTACTATCCCAACTCTAAGGAGGCAAAAATAACATTTATATCCGTAGTTTAGTTCAATTGACTCTATTTTTCATTTATAAAGGAAATGATTAGTGACTGCGACCCTTGGTCATCTTGGATTTATCTACATTGAGCAGTTGCTTCTCTTCGAAGATAACCAAAGTGGCAGTTTCTTTCTCTTCATCATATTAAAATATGATGGCTGTTGAAGATATTTCCTCAGAAGCCAATGCCCAATCTCTCTAGTTGCTTAACCTTTGCAATATGTTTGCTAGTTTGGACGAGGGTTCTTTAACCTTACTTCTTTAACTTTACTTTGGGGAGAGGTTTACCCAATTCACTTACGTTAGGTATGAGCCATTCTGAAATAATTTTATTTTATTAGCTGATCTGTATTTGATATTGATCCTGTAAATGGTCTTGGAGATCCTCTCAAGATTGCCTGCTTTTTCATTTCCAAAAAAATTTTATGCCTTGATATCCATCATATTATTAAATCATAATATTTTCTAAGATAAACAGAAATAAAACATTTGTTATTTTATCTTTATCTTGTTCAACTTAACACCGACTTAAATAAAGCGTATTTTTTTTAAGCTGGCAATTTTCCCTGTGGTATTATTCCCTATTTCTTTAGGGAAGAAAACGTCGAGATTTCTATCTAGACTGGCAGAAGTGATAATTTCCTTCCAATAAAAAGCTCATCAGCGCATCATATTAATTTAAAAAAATAAACTTCCTTAAAAGCGTTAGAACACAGAGATATCGCATCCAAACAAGTCAAAGGATACAACCAAAATGTCCAAAATTTGGTTGTATTCATTGACTTGTTTGGATGCGATATCTCAGTGTTCTAACGCTCTTAAGGATTTTTTTTCTTTTTGTAAGTGTAACCTTCTTCAAGATTTTCCATGGTACATTCACATAATCGCATGCATTTCATCTTGGATAGCTAAACAGTTCTTCCCATGTGAGTTTCAATTTTCATAAATAGTTCTTGCGGAAGATACTTCTTCCGGTTCCTTCACTTGTCGAGAGAGGGGGGTGATTTTTTCTACAGACAATTGCGGCTTGAATGTCCAATTCTTGCTAACATTAAGTTCATCTTATGGTAACTTTGGCTTTTAAAGACAGAAGTTGGTTTAAAATTGAATCACCTTTTCTTAAATCTCTGTTTATACGTGACAATAATTTCAAGGGGGCGTCAGTGCCCGCAACGGTTTAGGCGTTGACACGGAGCTCATCACTGTAAGGTGACGGTCCCGGGTTCGAATCCAGCGACCCTGCATTCGAATCCGACATACTTACAAATGGGCTTTTTTCAAAAACACCGGCATCCTGTTGCGAACCCTCGAAAAAAAAAATTCAAAGCTGCTATTTGACTCAAACGGTAAGAATTGTTCCTTGCTTACTTGTACTTTCACAGGAAGCAGGTATAAAATAATCAATGCTGACTACATTAAAAGTCAATTTGACACCATCTAGTTTTATTTAAACTTTAGTTAAACCAATGAGTTTATTAGGTTTGGAATTCTAAACGCAAAAACAAAATAAGCGTTTTTTATTTAATACCCAAGCTCGATTGTTTTTATTTGTACCTCGGTGTGGGATGCCGATATTAGGTAGGTTCAGCAAACAGCTGAAAGAAAGGGAAGCATATTAGTGGTTGGGCTTATTCTGCCAATCACTGCTTTTTATTGGAAGGAAATTGTCACTTCTGCCCGTCTAGATTGGAATCTCGACGTTTTCTGCCCTAAGGAAATAGGGAATAATACCACAGGGAAAATTGCCAGCTTTTTTTAAAAAACATACGCTTTATTTAAGTCGGTGCTGAGTTGAACAAGATAAAGATAAAATAACAAATATTTTATTTCTGTTTATCTTAGAAATAATCCGTTGGCATCTCCGAACGCCCGTGGCGAATTTCTGTTTTATTTGTAACAACGCTAAGAAATAAAACATCTTTTTCCAGGAAAGGAAAATATTTTTGAAATTTTTTAACAATAGCCGCCTATATACTCCCATTACCTGCAGAAAGGACAATGGCAGTTCTTGCGAATGGAGACCTATTGTGGACTATGCTATTGAGGTTTCACCCGAGACATCGGTGCCATCGATCCTTCAACCTTAATTTAAAGAACACTATTTTTCATCTTCAGTGAAATCCGGTTTTGAAAGGCCTGGTCGAATCGGCAAAGGCGTACGGGACAAAACGGCGATACGTTGAAGAAAATTGGTTGGATTTAACTTATGAGAGGCCCCTTTTACTAAATTGTTGGCATAGTTCCGAAGCATTTACTTCACCAACAGCTTTGGCAATAAGCCGAACAATTCGAACAGCCCAAGAAGTTCAATTTTGTCTTTCCGATAGTTTTGATTTTTTTAACAATCAATGTAGTCAGTCACACGAGCGTCTTGATAACAAAAAATGAATCGACAGATA